CACGTGCATACAGACAGGGCCCTGATCTTTGCCTTGTCCCTAATTCCAAAAAAAAAAAAAAAAAAAAAAAAAAAAAAAAAAAAAAAATTTCTCATGTACCACAAGCTTTTCTCTTCCCAGTTCCCTGTTCTAACTCACTGTTCAGCTAATGGTACAGGACCACCACAGAACCGGAGTCTAGAGATCATCAAATAAGAAACTGTAACAGCTAAAAGGTATTTACACCCCCAGACCCAAAAGCGTCTGGGCGCTACAAAAAGACTTTAATGTAAACATCTATTACTATGAGATGCTTTTAACAATTGATCACCTGTCTCCTAGATGTTGAACCAGTAAAGGAAACAGTACTTTAAAATAATCTGTCTCTGATAAAGCTTAACATGTTTCAAAATCCATAGGGACAGGCCAGATCTACCTCAGATAAATGTCAACATAAAATAATAATGATTCTTTTATCTCTCTAAGTTTTTTTCTATGTCACCAGCATCTTGTCAAACAAAAAGTTCCCAGCCACAGCCAAGAGGGATACATGTCTCCAGAGCAAACAGATGACAGACAGCATCCTACAATGCCTGTCTACCTCGGAAGACTCCCCTTCTCCATTCCCCCAAGAGCTAACCAATGTCCAAAAGTCAGCTGGAAGCAGTTTTTGAGAGGAACGACACCCCTAGTCCCATCTACCTGCTTTTTTTATAATAGGGAAAGTCTGGGATGTAAGGATTTGGCCCTTATTTACGTCCTTTAATTACATCATCAGCCTTCACCGGCTTCCCAGCCTAAAAAGCGTGTGGGCCCTCTGTGGGCTCTCTGTCCTCTCTCCTTTGCGCTCCTTCTCCCCCCGTCAGTCCCCTTCTCTCCCTCTCCCCGCCTTCTCTCTCTCTCTCTCTCTCTCTCTCTCTCTCTCTCTCTCTCTCTCTCTTTTTCTGTGTCTTTCTCTCTCTGTCTCCCAGCCCCCCCAAAAGCTCTAAAAAGGTAACCATGGCTGTGATTCTTTTAATCAGCACGCTCCTCCCTCAGCATGTCCGCCTTGGGCGGCGACCAGCCACGAGGGGCAGCGCCGCGGCATAACCAACATGTCCAGCATCCAAGCAAGCGAGCGTTTAATACAAAAATGGAACTTAGCATTTAGACTGTTTAATCTTGTGAACCAACCCTTATAAGAATAGCTGTGGCAATGAAATATTTTGCAACAATCAGCAGTTGTTAAGAATAGCCCAACTACATCATGAAGTTGTCCATCTCAGGCTAGCAGGAAGGGGTCTAGCATAGTAAATTATTCTAAACATAACGTTCATCATCACACTCTTTTTGCCGTTGAAGGTACCAGGCAGGCACACAGTGCATGGAAATACATGCAGACAAAAACTCATACACATAAAAAAATAAAAAGTAAAATTTAAAAAGAAATTGAAGGTCACACTCGCAAAACTCTAAGTGCCAGGCATAGTGGCCCACATCATTGTTCCCAACCCTGGGGAGGCAAAGGCAGGCTGATCTCTGTGAGTTTGAGGCCAGCCTGGTCCACAGAATGAATTCCAGGAGCTAGGCAGAGAGACAATACCTCAAACAAAACAAAAGCCAAACAAGTAAACACACCAGAAGAGCAAACACTAAACTTTACTTTTGTGTTTGGAAGGAAGGCTGAGGGGAGGGTTTAGAACAACATCTCTATGTCCCCTTGCTTCAGCTTCTGAACTACTGGTTAAAGGTATGCCCCAACCTCACCCCTGCTGGGTATGCGTAGCCATAGGGATGAGACTTAAGACTTCTTGCATGCTAGATCAGTCTCTGTGAACTCAGCAAATCTCTCAGCTCTAAATTCTTTAATACACTCCATGACTTCAAATATGAGATAAGCATCCAGTGATGTTTTATGAGAAGCAATTATTTTGACTCATGGGCGTTGTTTATGACATACCCAAGCTCCAGAATTTTAACTCATTTGCATATAATTTGAACTTAAGTTTTGAAACTGTAGCCTCCCATAAGTATATTGTATTATTCTTATAGGTTTAGATCTGATTATTTACTCAAATTCTTAGTAGTTTTATAATGGAAAATTTATAGCAAAGCAACTAGCAAATAGTAGATGTAATAGTATAAGAGTTTGAGTTTTTTGTTTAAAGGGATGAAACTATAAAAGAGGAACTTTTTAAAGAACTTTTTTCATAATGCAAGAAGGAAGTAAAATCAAAATTATAAATCATGCAAGGGACCCATTCCTGGATGCCAGGGCAAAGGGCAGGCCACATTTGCAGATTGTAAATAATGCCAAAAGCATCCTGGGAGAAAGGACAAAAGCGAGATTTCTCTGAGCTGTCAGTATGTATAGACAAACGCTGTTACTGGCTGAGAGTATTGCCTAGGAAGCCATGGGAAGTTGTTTATGTTCTTTCAGACAGGCTCCTCAGCAGGTGAAGGTGATCACATAAACGTCTGATCTCTTTGTAGTTTTTTCACCATTGCAAATGACTCGTGCCCTATTGGCACAGGAGACAGCACAGGATAGACAGCTCTTTCAGAAGGAAATGAGACGATGTAAGGAGCTCTGCCTTCCACCTTTGGCTCCCTTGATCCGAGTCTTCTAACTCCGTTGATGATTCAGAAGATGAAAAGTTCTCTGCTAACCATTCATTCCTCTGCATCCCTACAGTTGGTGCTTCTGCACTGCCCCTGCGGATTCTGTTAGCTCAAAAGTAAGAGGATCTTGAGGCATACCTATCTCTGCCTCTTTGAAGTATCAATATATTTCTAACCCTTTAGACCCAGAGTTGATGATAATTTTCCTTAGAGCAGAATATGTGCAGAATATGAGCTTATTCTCTACAAGATACTTAGGGATTTTAGACAAGCCATCTCCTCTCACAGACCTACATCTCCATGTATGATGGGATTGTTGAGAGGGATAGCTGAAACAGAGCATCTTATCTCCAGGACTGTTCCAGGACTTGTTAGAAACTGCTGATGAATCCCTTCATTTCAGGACTTGGTGGCATGAAGAGACTGTGTCTCCATCTGGCCTCAGAGAGATGTTAATGGAAATGCTGTCCTTTGACAACGCTAGCGTGGAATGTCAACGGGCTCTACACCCAGTTCAAACAGCAGAAGGCACCTGGGAAGATAACATGGAGCCTGCAGTGACTCTGGGTCTCCAAGCTGCTTCCTTCTAGACAGGAGAGCTCTTGGGACTCCTTGCCTTATGCCTGTGGTCTGCTTTTTTTTTTTTTTTTTTTTTTTTTTTTTTTTTTTTTTTTTTTTTGGTTTTTCGAGACAGGGTTTCTCTGTGTAGCTTTGCGCCTCTCCTGGGACTCACTTGGTAGCCCAGGCTGGCCTCGAACTCACAGAGATCCGCCTGGCTCTGCCTCCCGAGTGCTGGGATTAAAGGCGTGCGCCACCACCGCCCGGCAGTGGTCTGCTTTTGTTTCTGCCTTACCAAGCCTGGATACTCTTGCTTTTGTTTCTACTTTTAGGTTGTAAAGACACAGATGCCACTGCTTTCTGACTTCCTTAGATGTCTGGTTCAAAAGTGCTTTGGGTATGGATAATATTAAAACATATGTTGTCATGTGATGTTTCAGCTCACTGAAAAGCTGGCTTTGAGATGGGATTTGACCCCCCTACTTCAGACCCAAGCATGTTTGTCTCAAAGTTTCTTTCAAACTCTGAGACTAAGGCTATTCCTCTGACTCTGTGACAGGCAGGGAAGGGGGGAGGGAGGTAGGGAGAAAGAGAGAGAGACAGAGACAGAGACAGAGACAGAGACACACAGAGAGAGACAGAAAGAGACAGAGGGAGAGAGAGATGCCAGCGTAAAAAAACATTAATGAAAAGAATTCCTACTTTAAAACATGGCTACTGTGTTAGGAGAATTGAAAACAAAAATGAAGGAACCTCAAACAAATCCTGAGCTGCCACTAATTAATTATTTAATGCTAAAACATTGTTTAGGTTGTGAATAGTTTCCTAGTATGTGTTCTTTAATATTATAGGAAACTCTCCTCTTGTCCCAAATCAGTTGGATCAGTTATGAAGAGAGCAATAAAATAATGATTGTCTGTTGGTGGAGCTGGCTTCATAGGTACCCTTGGCTTCTTCATTTTCTGGGACCGTGGGTAACTGTTAAGAAAAATGTTGATTTTAATTTAAACTGCACTTTTCAATGGCTCGTGGACTCCACAGGTCAGCTGTGCACTTGTGAGCACATCTGGTGATAGTAATGAGAACTACTCTGTATGTTTATCAGTGCTTCTCTGTCCCTGCTTTGAACCGTGAGCTATCTTGGAATAAAAGCTTCAGAGAATCTCAGTAAAGGGCTATGGAGCAGTAATCACCTGATTCTGTCAAATCTCAAATTCCTCTTCACTTCCTTGGCTCTAGTCACTAGTGAGTCTTGATAAAGAGAAACTTCAATTGAGAAAATGCCTCCATCTGATTAGCCTGTAGACAAAATTGATGTAGGAGGGCCCGTCCACTGTGAGTGGTGGTTCTCAGATGTATAATAAAGCAGGCTGAACAGACATGGAAAGCATGCCTCTAAGCAACATTCCTCATGGCTTCTCCTCCAGTCCCTGCCTCAGTTCCTGCTTTGACTTCCCTCAGTTTTGGACTATTATCAGGAATTGTAAGGTGAAATAAATCCTTCCCTCCCTGTGGTGGTGGAGTAGGTATGGCTGCCATGGACTCCCGCGTTTGAATGCTTGTCGTATAGGGAGTGACACTGCTAGGAAGTGTGGCCTTGTTGGAGAAAGTGAGTCACTGTGGAGGTGAGCTTTCTGGTCTCATATGTGCTCAAGCTAGGCCTAGTACACAGTTGCTTCTGCAGTCTGCAGATCAAGATGTAGAATTCATCCCACCATGATGATAATGAACTAAACCTCTGAAACTGTAAGCCAGCTGCAATTAAATATTTTCCTTTATAAGATTTGCCATGGTCAGCAGGGTGGCGGTGGCACAGGCCTTTAATCTTAGCACTCAGGAGGCAAAGGCAGGTGGATCTCAGCATGATCTTCAGCATGTGCGGCCTCATGCTTAAGGTAGGCAGGGTTGAATTTCCCTAGGCTTCTGTTGCTCCTCCTGAGAATAAGGCCTGGGGGCGGGTTCAGAAAGAGGCGAGTCCTCTGGTGGTGCTGGAGGTGGGGAAAGGGGTTGAGGTCAGTGGGGAGCAGAGCTATGGTGAGGTTTCCAACATAGGGGAAGTTGGAATTGCAGTTGATGAGCACACAACTGAGCGGGTCTGAGGGTAGGGCCTGACTTTGAAACAATTTACAGAGGACTCTTGGAAAAAGGGCAGGGTCCTTAGCGTTTGGGAATGTGGTGGGGTCAGAGATACAAGATACATACACACATGGGGATCAGAAGCTTGGAGTAGGCTTGGTACTGAAGGGTTGGTACTTCCTGGGCCAAGGTCCAAGCTGCAGGTGGAACCTGATATCTGAGGATCTGGGTTGTGGGGGTTTCCTGGCATACTTCTCACTGATCCAATCTTCCCACCCACCTTTCTTCAGCTGAACTGGTGTGCTTGGGTTCCCGACTACTGTTCCTTTATCAGCTTTGACAATTCTCGGAGCTTGGAGGATGCGGGGGACCAGCCTCAGCAGTTTCGAGGGTCTCAAAGGGCAGGGATGTCTGGCAGGCACAAGAAAAGACTCGAACACAGGAGTTGGTGCAAGCTGACGAATCTTGTCAGATCTGGAGATGTGCGTCTTCTCCACCTCCTCCCGATCTGACTCAACCCCAGTCTTTTATTGTAATAATACAAGGAAATAGGGGATGAGAAAATTCAACAGGTAATTGGTTTTTTTCACAATAGTTTCAAAAGTTCCTTTTGGAAATCAGCAAAGTGTACCCCGTGCCCCTTGATTGCACATAGAAGTTCCCAGGCAGAAAGCCAAAGCATACCCGCTTATTCTTTTGCAGGTTAATAATTATCAGAACACCTGAGGTTAGCACCCCAGAGGCCATCTACTTGTGGTTTCTCAGAAATCACAGAAATATAAACCATGTTTAAGGTACCAGACTGCCAGCTTCCTCTCAGCTTAAGTCCTTCTTCATCACTCTGTAATTCATCAAGCTGTCTTCTAACTAGTTCTGGGCAACTCTTGTCTTCTATCCTATCTATATGTCACTCCACCTACAGCTTTTGTTGCCAGCCTTCAGGGTTTTTCCCATGACCTGCATAACAGCTTTAACTCCTGCCACTGTCACAATCTCAGTATCAATTCTAATTTCATGGAAACCACTGCAGGAGAGAGAAAGAAAATCATAAAGAGGAAATAGAGTAGGAGGATTACAAGAACCAGTAACAGTTGGATGGGTGAGAACATGACACACATATGCCATAAAGTCTGCCCTCGGGACACATATGCCCTCTCTGGCAGGAGGACACGAGGCAGATGACGAGTAGCTTCATGTGAGGATCCTGAGTAAGGGGATGGGATCCCATGCCTGCTCTCTAGGACTGACACCTCTTTTCTGTCTCAGGCTCTCAATCTCTGCCATGGTGATGTCCTATCTGCAGAAATCTCAGCCCATGACGCCCCTGTGGTGATGTCTACTAGAAGGCTTGGATCCTGGACTCCTGTCCACCTTCTCTCTGGCCTAGCCTTTGACTGCCTCCAACCTGCCCTTGGCTGCTGTCTGTAAACTCACCTGAGTGTTGTCTCTGGTCTCCCAGCTGAATGAGGGAAGATGGCCATTTCCTTGGGGTCCTGCTTCTGCTTTGACAAAGTGGTAAACCCACAGACTTCCCTTTTATTTCCCTCCCCTGGCCACTGTTATGAGAAACACTGTTCATGTTTCTAAGTATTCGCTTGTTTTCTTGTTGAAATCAGTTGGTAAAAAATTTTCCACTCTGGATGGCATGGATTACTTCTCTTTTGTTCATGGGGTGCTCTGCCCAGTGAAGACCGGCCTGTGTGCCCCTCCCATCTTGAGCTTTTTTTAACGAGTTAATGTTCATATTTCACAAGGCTCATGTCTTAGGTTAGGCATCAGGGGCAAGATAATTTTTTCCACATTAGGGTGACTGTTGTCCCTGCCAACCTAACTAATCTGGGCTTTGGTTTTCTTTTTTGTTTGTTTGTTTGATTATTTATTCACCTACTTGTTTATTTTGATGTGCTGGGTATGAAATTCAGGGCTTTATACATTTTACACAGACATAATACTGTAGAGCTATATTTCTAGGTTTTATTTATTTGTGTATTCCTCTAAAGCTCTGGCAGGCCTGGTAATCAATCATATATCCTAGGATGGCAATATTGGTGCTCCAGCCTTCAGCACGCTGAGATTACACCTATACACCCACACACCAAACTCTGGCCTGGGTTTTCTTAGAACAACAGATTAGTGAATAGACTGGTTGGGGTTGGGAAGGGTATGGACGATTCAGGGTTCTTCCTTCCCTACAAGGCCCTTTCAGCTCATAAGAGGATCAGCTTCTGTTCAGACCCGGCTACGTGCCTCATCTCTGGCAGTTTGTTAAAGTCCCAGTCCCCACAAGGCAAACCAGAACTGTTTTCTACTCCAGCTTCCAGCCAAGCTAGGCCCTTATAGGACCCAGCCCTAAAGAGAGTGTGATATCCTAGAATCCCATCTACGCTTTCCACTCCTTAGGAAACACTGCTGTCTACTGGAAAAGTTGAATCCTTTGCTCACACTCATTATCAAAGCCTTACAGCTAAAGTCTTCAGCCAAAAGAGCCCTGAGTGGAATGGGGGTGGGATTCAGACCCAGTCCTTCCCTGTGCTCCAATTCCTCAGTACAAAACTCCACAGCCTCAGTTTGTAGATGGCCGAGGCCCTGCCCCCTTCCGCGCTGATTGGCTGGCTCGGGTTCTGGGGGCGGAGCGTTCGCTGGTACTTAACTAGGCTAGGGAAGCCAGCAGAAGTGGCTGCAGGAACTATGGGAATACTAAGGCTGGCCTCTGGTGTCTGTGCTGGTGGCGGGAGTGCTGGGTGGCTCTGGATGGGCTCCTGCACCCTCGGTTCGCCTGTCCGGCCTGTTTCCTTTCTCTTTTGGTTGTTATTGGCCACACCTGGCGCTTGGGCCGCAGGCTACAAGGTGAAGTGGAGCCTGAGGGCGGAAATGTACTTGGCCTAGAGTTGAAGCAGAGTCGTGGGTGGCACTGATCTATAGGTGACTGCTGCTGATCTGATGGTGTGGTCTAAGTGCGTGCGTTGGGTCTCTGGAAAGGTCTGGCGTGCGTCTGAGAACAGGGCTGCATGTGATTGTATCCACTTCTTGTGACTCCAGCTGGCGTGCTAGGACTTTGCATGCACTTAAATGTGATTAATGGGGCGACAGATGAGCAGTCACTTGAGACAGGGCTCTAAGCTTTGCACAGGTTGTGCTTGCTATGGTTCCACTTGCATGGACTCGCTTTTTGGTGACAGTGCATTCCCCAAAGCCCTGCTTGGGGCAGCTCTGCTGGAAAGCCTGCCTTGCAAACCCTACTATATCACCTGGAAGCACTTCGCCTCTTCCCTTTCTAGAGTTATGTGAGCGGGGCCGCTCATCCCCAGCTTCATCTCCCTTCAGGTTGCCTGGAGTCCCAGTTTGGCCTCTCAGCTTCCTGGCTCCGGGTTCAACTCACCTCTCTACACCATGCCTCGGTGTGGTGTCCCAGTCTGTCAACTAGAGCTAATATTGCCCCACATCTCAAGCTGGTTGCCTGATGTCTGGAATGCTTAGCTCACCTCAGCTACTACTAAAGTTGTTACTTTATGAAATCTGCTCTATGGGGTTTGTGCAAAGTGGGAATTGTGTCTATGAGCACAATACTCTGTGTGTCCTACCTGAGGCAGCCTGGGACAGATTATGCTCTTTGACCTCTCTGTCACTCCAGACTCAAGACCTGTGCTTTTACCACCTCCCTGCCTGCTTTGTAATGGTGGCCGTCAAGACTACTGTCTTGAACATGCTAGGCAAAGATTCTACCTTAGAGCCCCCAACCTGCTGGCTTCTCAACTCTCGGTTACTGACAGGAAATGTGTATGTTCTGGGGTCTCTGTGCAGACATGTCCCACAGTGAAGCCAGGCATGCTCAACGTGCACCTGTTGCCTCATACACATGATGATGTAGGCTGGCTGAAGACAGTGGACCAGTACTATTATGGCAGTGAGTAGAGAGTCGGGGGCCCCTTCTCAGTTTTTCAGGGACCTGGACATTGGGGTGAGAACAGTGAGTCATTGGACTCTTGTATCAAGGTATGTCTCCTAGTGGTCCCTCACTGCCTGACCTTCATGTCCACAGTCCTCAATGATATTCAGCATGCGTCTGTTCAGAACATCCTAGACTCGGTAATCCCCTCTCTACTGGAGGATTCCACCCGACGCTTCATCTATGTGGAGATGGCTTTCTTTTCCTGTTGGTGGAAGCAGCAGACAAATGCAACACAAGATATCGTACGGAAATTGGTGCGCCAGGGTGAGCATACCCCAAGAAGTGAAAGGAGGAAACTCAGTCCAGCTTGATCTCTGAGATTATTTATTTATTTACTACTATTATTTATTGGGACAGTGTCTTATTACATGGCCCTTCCTGGCCTGGAACTTGATGTGTACATCAATCAGGCTGACTTGAACTTGTGGAAAATCTCCTGCTTCCCTAATGCTGGAATGAAAGGCCTGGGCAACCAAGCATCTCTGGGATTTTTATCATATCATAGTGTGTTCACACTGTACCTATAGTTCTACCTGCTTAGAATCTCTCTTCATGTGGAGACCTGTGTCTCACAAGGCCCCATCTACAGTGGCTTCCCAGGAAGCCAGTCATGCAGATCTAAGCAGACTGGCTTGGAAACTCTCCTCCTCTCCAGCTTCAGTAACAGTGTTGTCTGTTTTCTTAGACTTGCCCCTGATGGCCCTGTTCCTAACAGATACCCTTCCCCCCTTGCATTCCTTGCACAGGGCGTCTGGAGTTTGTCAATGGTGGCTGGGTGATGAATGATGAGGGAGCCACCCACTATGGTGCTATTGTGGACCAGATGACACTTGGGCTACGCTTCCTGCAAGACACGTTTGGTAGCAATGGCCGTCCACGTGTAGCCTGGCATATTGACCCTTTCGGCCACTCTCGAGAACAGGCCTCTCTGTTTGCCCAGGTGCCAGCCACCCTATTTTCTTTTGGACCTGCCCCTTAGCTTAACTTCAACTGTTCATTTAGCTGCTCAAACCCTGCCCTTCTCTAGCAATTTCGGGGACTAGACCCCACCTGGCTTGCTGAGACCCCACCTCTTGGGTGAATTTGACTCCTGTGAGTTGAGTTCAAGCCCTGGTCTGTGGTCCTAGGGCACCACAGGTTTAAGCTGCTTTGCCTCTCTCCAGTTGGTTTGGTCCCTTCCCTTGAGCCTGCTAGGGTTGAGGCTACCACTGAACAGTGGTCAGTGTCGCTACCCTGCTTTAAAACCAGCTTCATGTCTGTGCTGACCTATTCTCACCTCAGACTGCAGAGTGGAAAAGCCTCCTTTTTGCTTTGACATAACCAGGGAGGTAGAAGAGGGTTTGGCTTTAAAGCTGCCTCTTCTTTGCTGACCCTTCTCAAGCTTAGAAGAACACATTCAGGCTTTGTGGGACTCATGCCTGTAATATCAGCACTTGGGGGGCTGGTACAGGAGGACTGTGAGCTTGAGGTCAGCATGGCCTCAGATGGAGACCCTGTCTCAAAGAAAATCTAGCTTTATTAATTTATTTTTTAGTTTTATTATTTAATATATATGGGTGTTTTAACATGCCATGTATAATTTTATACACACACACACACACACACACACACACACACACACACACACATATGGGTGTTTTGACGTGCCATGTATAATTTAATATATATAATATATACATACATATATATATGAGTGTTTTGCCTGCATGCATATCTGTGCACCATGTGTGTGCAGTGCCTACAGAGGAGGGTTGTAGGATCTCCTGGAACTGGAGTAATGGATGGTTGTGAGCCGCCATATACATGCTGTGGTATTGAACCCTGGTCTTCTGGAGGAGCAGATAGGGCTTTAACCACTGAGCCATCTTTCCAGCCCTGGCAAAACCTAGTTTTAGTTGAGTACTTCCTCTGTGCTCTTTCCCAACTGGGCAAGAAGGACCTGCACTCGCTCACTCCATCCCTTCTTCTGCACTCCAGATGGGCTTTGATGGCTTCCTCCTTGGGCGCATTGACTATCAAGATAAATTTCTTCGGAAGGAGGAACTGAAGATGGAGGAGGTGTGGAGGGCCAGTGCCAGCTTGAAGCCCCCAATTGCTGACCTCTTTACTGGTGAGGATGTGGGAGGGTAGGGGAGTCACACAAGACCTCAAGCTGGAAGGGTCCAGGTGTGATTTTGTGATAAACTGTAATTATCCTAGAATTTTTATTGATTTTTGAGCTGGGCTCTGTGTGTTCTTTTGTACTAGCCCTCTCTAATTCAGAAGCCTATTCTGTTGGGATATGGCAGGCTCTGACCCCAGGGCAGGTCTGGGTGCTGAGTCCAATTTGGTTTACAGGTGTGCTCCCCAATAATTACGACCCTCCGAAGAACCTGTGCTGGGATGTGCTATGTGATGACCATCCCATAATGGAGGATCCTGAAAGTCCCGAGTACAATGCAGATACTTTGGTCAGTTACTTCCTGCAGCTGGCCTCTTTACAGGTAACGCAGATATCTAGACCATGGGCCATAGCATGCAGGCACAGGCACCTAACCTTTCCCAAAGCCTGAGGGAATGCCTTCAAGGGATTTCCCTTTGGGATTTATTCTTCCTTAGAGGGATACACAAGGAGCTGGAGAGATAGCTCTGCACTTAAGAGCACTTGCTGCTCAATTATGAGGACCAGAGTTCAGATCTCAGCACCCACATTATAAGCCAGTCATCCTGACTGCAAATTACTGTATGGGAGTTATTTGGA